ATATGGTCTTGATCCTGCACTATTAAGGTTAGTGGGAGTTTTTCAAACAACTTGAGGGGGAGAAGGCTCAAGCCTTATTGATCCTTATATATTGTGACTATGACACTATTTTTGGTCCACAGCATCAAAATCCTTCATGTGGATTCTCCAATATGCTTCTCAGGAATTTTCCAAATAAATCATTGGTTTTAATTGACTATATGTTTTTCCTTGACACAGGTAATATTTGATTTCAGCATAGTTTTAGATATATTACAGCTCTACAATAGCTTCCATCCACAGACTGACCCACTCTAATGCGGCTTAACTCTTGAGGTATAGGAAGAACACAGGACATGACACGACAGTACAGCTGCAGACAGACCATTGTCCTAAAACCATATTACTACCTGTGTAGCCAATTCATATATAACTGCAGTTCACAGTGTCACATTTTAAAGGCCAGTACTCCATATTTGGGCCTTTGCAGGTGAACTTAATAACTATAGACTCAATTCTACATTCACCCTGGGAAAGTGCGATCCTTTTAATAAAGGGTTGGGGTGGGGGTCCAATAATGGAGGAAGTTGGTGTGTGCATCTGTGCATATTAGCGCTCAAAGGCCCCTCTTTGAATTAAGTGCTGTACAAACACAGACAACAGGAAAACGTCAAGTATTTTGGACAAATTCTGTAGTTTCAGGAATTACACCCCCAACAAAAGGAAACACCTTGGAGAAAGAGATGAAATTACATTAGGGATAAACTGGGGAAAGTTTTCATAAATGAGAAATTAACTGATTTGCCAATGGTCTCAGAAGTATGTTCATAGTAAACTTAGACTGGTGCTGTGGATGATAAAAAGAATGGTAGTGAACCTGAATGTGTGTACCTATTGTTGAATTTTAATATTGATTTTAACTGACTTCTAATCTTGCCTTGAAAGCATCAGAGACAGATTAAAGTGGTTTCTTAGTGTTTCCTACTAGGATAATATGAAAATAATAGTAACATGAAACTATCCCTACAGTAAGATGTAACCTTTTGCTTCATGTTTACCCTTTTAGTGATGAGCTGTGCCAAGGGGGACCACAGATCACTAGGGCAGTGAACATAAAGCAGAATTAGCTGGTCTTATGCCTTCTGATTACACTTTTATCCAAGCTGTCCTTTGCTCTTGTCCCTTCCACAGCAAATGCCTACTGTTCCATTGTAATCATGATACTGATGATTACTGTGGCTGAAGCAAGGTGCATCCTGCAACCTCCCTTACCCAGAAATGTCGAGCGTCATACTCATGCATTGCTTCCCACCCCGGCTGACACTTGGATTGCTCCCTGTCCCTTGGTAGAATGTTATGAGTCTTTTCAAGTGTAAATGTTAAAAAAATGGACACAAAGAGCTGGTGCTCTGTGTTGTGTAAGAGTGTTGGTCTTAGGATGTATAGAGGGCTAAAGTAACAAAGTAACCTTAGAGCAGAGGTGAAGGGAATAGTAGTAGGTGGGCCTGAGCCACAAAGTTTGGATTTGGAGCTGAATTTCCCTAAGGTCTGCATTGTTTTGATCCAGGCCAGTTAAAGCAATGGGACCAGGAGAAAAGTTTGTCCCCGGATTCAGTTCTGAATGTCCTCAAAGTGCTTATAAAATGCCTCTGCCCACCCTGTACTCACACTGATGCTCTCCTGTCTTGCATGTCTTTCCTGAGAAAGGGGGATTATCCCAGTCTGGGTGGAGGAAAGTATTATTTTGCTGCCATCTTCTGGATTGTCTATGTAACGACACCCAATCTCCCTATCTTTAAGCTTTCACTATTATCAAACTTAAAAGCTGAACTCCTAAGCTTTAATATACAAATAAAAGTACATTTAAGATACCAAATCAGTAACAAAATACCAGCCTGGACTTATATCACAGGACATATAAGCCCCCATCACAGTCTCCTGTCCCTGCAGAGGAGGCCTGTGTGAGATTCCTGACTTAACTGCACCAGGAACAGAGAAACCCAGCAATGACAGAATGTAGCTGGCTTTATTAGGGAAATGCATCTACTTGGGAGGAAACTGAGCTAAGGGAAATTAACTACTCCATTGGGCTAAGCAATTAGGTATGTAAGTTGAAAACGATTTGAGAGCTGTGTTCTTCCATGGAGCTCTGATACCAAGAACGGATATCCAGTGAGCATAAAAAAATGTAATTAAAATAATTGTTTGCTAAATTATAACCAATGAGGACCTGTTTATCATGAGCGTAGGCCTGGCTTGACATGATTAATTGGACAAACCACATCCTGCCCGCGGGACCCTAGAACAAGCCTTAAGGATACATATTTTCAGATGATTTGAGTATGAAGAGAAGTTTGACATGATTACTACTTTAATGCAGAAACAAAAAATTTAATCGTAGCTCTAGCAAGCAGAGCTGATTAATTTTCCTTTAACTAGAGACATACCATAATAGCCCAGGATTTACTAATTTCTACTCACCTGATTTGACAATGAAGAGGTTTATTTTTGTAGTAATACAAACTCTCACAAGCACTTTTTAAAGAATTACTGCCACTCTGTTTACATGTACCAGTATGTAAAATAGGAGAATTTAGGAGAGTGATTTTATATTTAAAAAACCAAAAACAAAGGAAAAGGGAAAGAATAATGGAAGAACCTAAATATTTCCCAGCATAAAACCCATAATATAGGCCTTGATTCATCAAAGCACTTAAACCTATGCATATGACATCACGGTAAGTAACTCTGCTGAACAAAGACAGACAAACACATGGCAAGTGCTTTTTTGGATGAGGGTCATGATGAGCAGAGCAGTATTTCAATGATTTTTTTTAAAATGACAGGCATAGTCATTGAATCAGATTGAAAAAACTTCCTATGTTTGGATATTTTTGAAAATATAAAAAGTTAACAGAGTCATGGAAAGGTGAGAAGTAAAAAAGATTAAAAAAAAGTGATGCTGATTAGCTGGACTGTTCAATTCTTTGTCAAATAGCTGAGGAAAGTATAAGATCCTTTCCGAGGAGTCTGAAGTCTCTGTTTGCCTCACAGCGGCAGCAGGTGCTGTATACATCTGCGTATAAACAATGAAAATGTGCCAGAAGTGTTTATCGTAATGCAGCTGTTTTGAATCAAAGAGCAACAACATTTGTTCAAAATCTTTTATTTACTATAAAGACAAAAACACCAAAATAGGTACAAATTATACTATAAAATTGGTTCAACGGGGTAAAAACTTTTAATTAAAATATCTTGATATATTTAAAATAACAAAGGATACAACGAAGCCAAATTTTCTTAACCCAGAGATTTCTGTAAAATTTGCTTGCACAGTAAGGTGCTAATAGAAGTTAGCCCTTAAGCCCTGGAAGTCTTAGGAATCAGTCACATAGCAAATATAATTTCATTGTGAAAGTGAACTTTGGTAGAAGAAAATCTATAGGACACCTGAGGTAGTAGAAATTGGAATAAACAGCAGTAGACGTTATTTACAACTTAAGTACCAAATAACATTAAGAACACAAAAATAATTACACAATACAATTTTCAGTCCAGCTTTGATCCAAAGAAAATAAGAATATTACATCACATCTGCATTTTAAAAACACCACAATTACCAGCAAGCCGAGGGAAATGCAAACAAACTCAAACAATATGCATTTGGACATCTAGAGGCAGTCTGAGTTTGAAATGTGGTAGGCATGGTGATCTACAAAGTAATACTGATTAGCTGAGGTTCATCAGTGTATACAGTTTACATTTCTGCCAGAAAAAGTACTAATCTGACAACTGATCTTCCAGTACATGAATTGGCAAGAGTGCATCCTTTAAAGCTTGCACATAAGAAAGACTTGGAAATAAGAATTTTAAGCAGTTAAAAAAAAAATGAAAGAAAAAGTCAAGTACAATACAGTTAGAGCTACCAAACTTCACATTTCGGTATTTTTTTTTAACTCTTCAAAGTTTGCCAATTTTCCAAAACAAAGGAATGTAAAATTTCAAAAAGAAATACACATTCATATCTAATGAAACTGTTTTATTAGCATGAGCACTATCATTCCTGTAAACTTATCTTAAACTTGTTTTACTTCCAATTTATGTTTTGTGTACATTTTTAATGTACTATAGCTTATTTAGTTTGTCCTGAGTCTTTGAAAATAACCAATTTGATTTCAGTCCAGCAATTCAACTGGCTTCTGAAGAGTTAAAACATGAACAGTTATTAAAAAAAAAAGGATTAAACACAATCAGTACTTGATTTAAAAAGACCCCCCCCATTAAAAAGCAAAAGAACAGCTGCCATTTTCCTTCAGAATTACATGCATCAGAATCTAAAAACCTGCCTTTAAAACCATTAAAAGACAGTTTTAAAAAAAGAAAACGCCTGTTTAAAAAACTCAAAGTTTTGTACTACAGGTGAAGCTTTACATCAACTTTTGTCTTAACTTGCTTTTCAAGTCCAAGTTCATTTCTTGTTAAAATCAAGACTTTTTATTAGGGTAATGTATTTTTAACAGATTTTCAAATTACATAATCAGTTGCTACTGTAAATAGATGATGTATAGCAGAAGGAAAACAGCAGGTAAAACTTAATATCAGTGGTGAACATGAATACAGTTTTGTTACACAGGAAGGCTATGTCTTCACTACCCGCCTGAATCGGCGGGTAGAAATCGATCTCTCGAGGATCGAATTATCGCGTCTCGTTGGGACGCGACAATCGATCCCCGAATCGACGCTTGTACTCCACCAGCGCAGGTAGGAGTAAGCACCGTCGACGGGGGAGCCGAGGAGGTCGATTTGCCGCTGTCCTCACAGCGGGGTAAGTCAGCTCGGATACGTCGAATTCAGCTACGCTATTTGCGTAGCTGAATTTGCATATCTTAAATTGACTCCCCGCCCCCGTAGTGAGGACGTAGCCTGAGAGACTTGAATCCAGACCCTGGTCCTACTCCCATTAAAGTCAAAGGCAAAAACTCCCACAGACTTTAATGGGAGCTATGGGCAGGGCTCTTGACATGAAACTTGTCTACACAGTTTACCAAAAGAAATTGTTACACGAAAATAGGCTCAAAAACTAACATTTAACATGATCTGGGGTTACAAGTTGTTTTTATGCACAGAAATCTTCCTTTAAAAAAAAAAAAATACCTGCACTATGAGAGCCTGAAACTATCAGTTTTTTTTTCCAGATTTCAAATAAACCTGTATTCTTCAATCAGCAAGATATTCAGTGACATCTAGTTTGCACCTAGTTCTGAAGATTGATTGTTTTAAAGATCACCTTTCCCTGAATGTAAAATAAAATGAAAGTATAGAACCATAACTTCAAAAAGGAAATTACAGGGCCAGCAGTAAATGCACAGTGAATCACAGCTGCCTTGTCACATTTTTAATGAAGGCAGAATATGGTTTTAAAAGTATTCATCCATGTTTGTATTTATTACTCCACTAAGAGAACATACTTTGTGAAATAAAAGGAACATATACAGAATTTCCTTTTTAGTCAGTGATGAAAAACTGAATGGAATTGCAGAAACCTCTGCTTATGACCACAATGTGAAACGGAACAGTGATTGCAACATTAAAATAGATCCTGAGCCCCTCAGCTGCTAATATTGCTGAAAAAGTGCTCCAAAAGAAAATAAATCTTATCTGCTAAACAATCATGCAGATTTAAAGAAAAATGTTTTCTTGTTCACCTTGAGCCAGATCTTTGAAAAGGCACAGTTCACATATTTCTTCACAAGTTGTGAAAGGTTGCATACTGAGCTTAGGTAAAGATCTCGATTTGTCAATCACATACTTAGGTAAGGATCCTCCACTGGCCTTAAATCCTTGATGTATAATTAAGACCAGTAGAATAATACATGCTGCGGTGCTAAACAGCACTGCGAGATGGGCATTGTTCCATATTCAGTAGCATCTTCAGTAAATCATAATTTTTACATAATTAGCTACCATGTAGTACGGAAGACTGGGTGTTTCAGCAGTTCCCGTGATGGGGGTCTGTCCTGAGGTTGAAGTTCTAAACACCGAAGGGTCACATCTCTTAAACCAGGAGACAGATGTGAGGGGATTGACGGAGCAGTAGTTGCGCTAGCAATCTACAGACAGAAATAAAAATGTTTTTAGAAGTTATCAACAGTTTTGATTTTTTTTTTACTCCATTTACTCCACTAGATGCTGGATGACTGAATAACTCCTCATTTCCAAAACCAGTTTCTTTACAGATTACGCAAGTGATTACATTATGGAAAATAATGCTTTGGCCCTGACCTCACTTTGGGACTTTCCTGACCTCAGTTAGCTGTGATGTCTGCTTTCCCAATATTCATGCCCTCTGCTGCTACTCTTAGTCTCAGTTCTCTCCTTGCATCCTCTTATAATTCTGTTTCTAGGACAAGACTCCTTCATACCCATCAGCTCAAAGAACTGGGAAATTCTCCTGCCATGCTTATACCGTATAAGCATTATTCTGGCACACCACTCATCTGTGTTTAACTGGCATAATGCAAGGAAGCCTATGGAACTGGTGAGGGTTGGGTATCTGTAGTATACCCTCCCTCACAGTGCGTTGCCAGTGCATTTCAACCATAACTTTGAAGCAGAACCACTAAGTCTGAAGTGTAGTTCACTCTGTTGATTCAATCCATAGCCTCTCTATATGAATGCCAATTAGGGTTAACTAGGATGATGGTTGTGGTGATGTAGACCCATAGCTATCATTAACTAGACTGAGACCACCAACCAATTCATGTATGCCCTTGAACAACAGAGGTAATATTTTATTCTAATGAAACCCCGGTAAATTGTAATCTGTGCATGTTTACTGTTGTACTAGCTCATATTTTATTCTTTCATTTATGCATGCTATTCAACTAGATTATTTCTATTAAGATTTTTATAGGGTTTTTTTTGAAAATTGAATAAGAATTCTGATTGCCAAAAAAACGTGGTCTAGAGAAAAGGGTTAATATCCTTTACCAATGCTCTGAGATTGCCAGTCCATCAAAAGGATGCCTATTTTATTCTAGTCCTCTGGGGCTGGAGCCCTGAATGCTAAATATCAATTTTTAGTTAAGGATATTCTTCCCCAAGTTATAAAATATTAATGTACCCAATTTTATAATTTGTACTACAGTGATATAACAAACAGGAAAATAGGAAACAAAGATCTATGTCAGTGGCATCACACATCACTCCTGCTTTGTTTCCCTAACTTATGGGTGTATTCATATCTTAGTATAGTGCTCCTCTCTAGAGGCTATTCTTGGGGGTGAATCGTTTTTCAAAAAAAACAAAAACCCCAGAGGAAATAATTTGTAGCTAGAATGTAGCAGATTTACATTAGTGTAGTATTTGTAATAAAAAGCCTTATATAAAAAGGAAGCATTGTAATTATTATTATTCACCGTGTAACTTATTTCTTCCTAAAACCGACACTGTTGTACATGAAATCAAGCACTGAAGTGCCAACATTTGGTTAACTTATTTATAATACAAGGTATCTCACCTTAAATATCAAAGCTAGGTGATTGGAGTGCTTCTCAGCATTCCAAGGTGGTTTAGCACAAGCCATTTCTATAATAGCACAGCCAACACTCCATACATCACAGCTCCTACCATATTGCTGGCCCCGCAGTACCTACAAAAGAAAGATGCATCAGGGCTTAAGTTAATTAATTCCATGCCACTAACACTACACATGCATTACTTTATACACACAGAAGCCAAATCAAGTGCATTTTCATTATAATTTTGGGTTAAGTGAGTTAACAAGGGTGTAAATATTGACAAGTTTTATCTATGTGTGAAGTACAACAACAACAATTAAAGGGCCCGGCCAAACAAAAAATTAGTGTCCTGTAATTAGGAATGCTCAGGGCTATTTGCACGAAGGAACAATATGTCAAGATGTGGTCCAGCTCAGAGTAACCGGAACAACCATCTGGTAAGGGAAAACACCAAGATAGCAACAAAACATGATATATTTACATAATTCCAATTTTTTATGACAATGAAGTTATATGAAGCTCTGCTTCACTTATGGATACTGTTTCAAAGAGTTTTCGGTTACCATTTGGCTGAATTAATTATTTGCACAAAGCTCTACCACACATCCCCCCCCCCCCCAAATTTTTTCAAAGTGGCTTCTTACCTCTGGTGCCATAAATGCAATAGTTCCCAACAACTGTCCCTGAAACTCTCCAGCACCAGTTCCCTTTGACGCCAACCTGGCTGCAGCTCCAAAATCAGCAATTCTTAATCTATGACCTGTGCTGTCAATTAGCAAATTGGCACCTGTCAACAGCATAACAAAAACACTGCGAGTTGGCTCTCAGTCAAAAACACGATGAGATGCTTATCTGTATTAAAAAAGTACTAAGGGTCTGACAAACCCATGAAAGCAAGGAGATGAGGAGCTAAGAACGGAATACTGCCCAGAACTGTCTAATAGTGGTTGATCTGTCTCCATTATGCTTAGATAACATTACACACGGTGGCCTGAGAATATGTGAGATAAAAGATTTTGAGAAGCAACATGAAACCTCAGAAGTGGGGCAAACGTAAGAGTAGGAAGCAGGAGTACAGCCCTGGAAGATGGTGGTGACCAGAACTTAGTGAAGGCCTTATACAGCTACAGTAACTCCTCACTTAACATTGTAGTTATGTTCCTGAAAAATGCTACTTTATGCTAAATGATGTTAAGTGAATTCAATTTCCCAATAAGAATTAATGTAAATAGGGGGGGCTAGGTTCCAGGGAAATTTTTTCACCAGACAAAAGACATTATATACATACACAGTATAAGTTTTAAACAGTTTTAAACAAACAGTTTAATATTGTACACAGCAATGAATGACTGTGAAGCTTGGTTGAGGTGGTGGAGTAAGAGGGTGGAATATTTCGCAGGGAATGCCTTGCTACTAAATGATGAACTAGCACTTGGCTGAGCCCTCAAGGGTTAATACGCTGTTGTTAATGTAGCATCACACTCTACAAGGCAGCATGGACTGAGGCAGGAGGGAGGAAACACAATAGGTGCAGGGCAGTAGCTGCAAACACTTCCCTGCAAAAACTGAACCTGATGATGATCCCACGCTATCCAGCTGGAGCGTACCACTCCCTCCTCCTGACAGCACATGCATGGCTGCACAGGTGCTGACTCTCCAAAGTGCTGGGAGGTGCATGCATGAGTGAAAGAGAGCGAGAGAGAGATGTGCATTGCCCCTTTAAGCAGATCAGACAGGAAGCAACAGCTTCCAGCAAGTTCCCTCCTTTTTGTCCCTCTCCTCCCCTTTGTAGAGATGGGGTACAGAATGGGGGTGGGGGGCAGGAGCAGGGGGACATCCTGATATCAGCACCCCTCTCCCACACCCTCCCCCAGCAAGCAGGAAACTCTGGGGAGCAACTCCAAGGTAGAGGGCAGGGCAGGAGCAGCACAGCAGTGGGGGGCAGCTGCCAAGCCACATACCTTACAGGGAATTTAGGGGAGCTGATAGGGGGTCTGCTGGCCCCCCCAGTTCTAATCCCCAGAAGGAGGGGCTGCTCTTCCAGAGATTCCTGCAGACAGTGGACAAAGCAGGCAGCTGCCAAAGGATGTTATAAGGGAGCATTTTGCAACTTTAAACGAGCTTGTTCCTCAATAGATCAGCAATGTAACAACAAAACGACGTTAAGTGAGGAGTTACTGTACCTATATAAGATCTCCTATAAACCTTACATCCCTTTATCTGAATGTAAGTGGCTCACATCCACTTGAAAATAACTCCAGAAAGAGGGGGCCAAAGAAAGCATTCCCTTGAAATTTGTTCTCATATCTTAAGTGTGAATATAAACTGCCACAAGTAAGCCTGAAATCAGAGACCGGGGTGTTCCTACTGGATCTTTACTGTACAGTTATATCAACATTAGTTGTAAGCAAAATTCCATAGGTTTGGCGGTTTTCCTTATCATAAGGACCAAAAATTTAGATATTCGTCTGAATCCCTTACATCTACAAATTTAAGCGAAGACCAAGAGCTCAAATAATAAGATGCCCCGGGGCCAAATAAATATCTAGAAAACAAACTGGTGACCAATAATGAAAAATGGAGAAAAGCTATCTGAACATTTCTGAACCTTCAAAAAGATTTGAGTTTGGTTTGATCTGCTTATGTTAGCTGAACCAACTTTGCTCATCCCTAAATCAACCTTTTGCATCAGCAACTGTCTCCAATGTGTAAGGCGGTAAATGTCTCTAAGCACTATATGAATGTTTGGATGCAGTTTAGTAGCTTCAAGGTTCCTAAATACAACTAGGGAAATCAAGCATAGATCTCATCTCCAAAAGAGTGAGAGACAGATAACTGCCCTCAAACAAAGCAGCTGTCTGAATTCTAATAATTAGACAACACAATCAGGAGTTCTTACCTTTGACATCCCTGTGGATAATCTGATTCTCATGGAGGTAAGAAAGGCCACGCAGCAGTTGTTCTGTGTAGTTAATAACAACTGATTCTTTGAAGGCTCCATATTTACTTAACAAATGAGCAACTGATCCCCCTGGAAGATAAATTGTTTATATTTTTTATCCAATATTTATACTCATGATTAGCAGTAGGTAGCTTTAGCTGCCATAATTGGACTAATTTTTTCTATGATTTTATTGGACACTAGTGACTCAATTTTTCAAAAATGTGTGCTGCACTGTATAAGCAAAGAAATCTACCATGAGCACAGCTGTGTAGTTTCCAACTGCAACTCAGCACAAATTTTAAAACTATTTGCCTTAAATATCCCTTTAAAAAGAAAAACTGAAAAAAGCCTTATAAAAGTTAGTGAGTTCTGTTGCTGATGGAAAGTAACCTACAGATATTAATTCAATTTACTGTACTAAGTATCAGAGGGGTAGCCGTGTTAGTCTGAATCTGTAAAAAGCAACAGAGGGTCCCGTGGCACCTTTAAGACTAACGGAAGTATTGGGAGCATAAGCTTTCGTGGGTAAGAACCTCACTTCTTCAGATGCAAGTGAGGTTCTTACCCACGAAAGCTTAT